TAGCTCAGCTGGTACACCCACGAACAGTTGAAAAGAGGTCTGTGGGAGCACAGCCACTGGGCCTAGCGCAGGTTGGTACCTCCGCGGACTGTTGGAAAATAGTCCTGTGGGATGAGCACCTAAGCAAGCCCAGTTAGCATACCCAGGAACTGTTGAAATGCAGACCTGTGTTCAAATCCAGCTGATGGAACGTAAAGAGTAAAGCTGGACGACCAGCTGTTTCTAAACTGCCTGGGGTCGGTCAGCTTAATGATGGTACCTCAAGGCCGTTGTCCTTTACAAAAAGAAAAAAAGAAAAAAAAAGGTGGGGCTGGCACCGAGCTGAAGTGCACAGCGTACGTCAGACTTTGGTATAGGAAAGGAGGACTATCTGGCCTGCTGGTAGCTGGTCCCCTCGAAGTTGCCTTTGGGGAGGCTGAAACTGATAAACCACGTTGTGTCGTCGCAGCGCTAAGAACGGGTGGAAGAGAGAAGGAGCACCGGGGGAATCGAGGAAGAAGACAAGAAAAAGAGGAGAAGAGAGAGGCAAGAAGAAGGGAGGACGACGGGAGTAAAGAAGATGATGAGAAGAGGGATTAGCAAGACAACCAGATAGGTGGAAGACGAGAGAAGCAAAATAAACAGAGGAAGGTTTCCCCAACGGGGACTGTGCGCTCGACAGGTGGCGCTGTTGCCGGGGATCTCGGTTGCCTACCGAGGTCCATAGTGAACGGACTTGGGTTTAGTGCAGAACGATGATCTAGGCAAAACGACACTTTTTTTTTTTTGTGATTAGATAAATGATATAGTGTGTTTTTGACTTTGATATTGCCGTTACGACCTACGGGAATGTCCCTATGAATATTGTCAGGCCCAAAGAGGGGCCTCGCTGTCATGGTCAGGAACGCTAAGTATTAGGACTTGGCATGGAGTGGACGAATTTGTAGTGTGATTGTATGAAGGTGTGGATGCTTGTGTATGAGTGTCGAACGTTTGAATTTAGTAGTAGGACATAACCTCTTAAGGTTGAGGTTGGACAAGCTATAAGGGTTTGTTAAAGTAATTAGGTTGACCATGTATAAGTGTTGTATATTGACAGGGAACTTATTGTCGAAGAACGAGATGGCAGGCGATGAACTCAATCAGGTCGATGACGTGGGCGTTATGTGGGGTCAGCTGGTTGCTCTACTGGATGGGCTCGTGGTGACGCGATTCAACATCCCGAAGGTTCCGATTTTCCACTTCAAAGGAGATAAGGTGTCAGAGTGGCTTGAGTTGCTCGAGCAAATTACTGACGAGATGACGGAAGAAGAAAAATTTCGTCGAATCTCTAAGTACGTCTGGTGGGAGATGCGGCCGGAAGTTAGGCGGATAGCAACTGAGGCCGCAGGAAATTGGGGGAACTTTAAGGCAGAAATGCAAAGGCGGTATCAGTTGGGAGATGACCTCCTTACGACGGAGGACTTGGAAAGGCTAGAGAGGTCTGATTTCACGACGGTGGGTGCCTTCGCGACAACGTTCAAGAAAATGGCGAGGAGAGGCCATTGAGATTCGAGAGTCGAACCTTGAATGACACTGAGAGAAACTATTCACAGTTCAAGCGGGAGACACTTGCAGTTTTCCACTATCTAAGGGTGTTCCGCAACTACCTTTTCGGAAGGAGGTTTGTGCTGAGAGTGGATCCGACCACATTGGCCGACTCTTTGAAGAACTATGCACCGTCAGACCCAACCATTGCAAGGTGGCTCACATATGTATGGATGTTTGACTTTGAGCTGGAACGCATACCTGGGAATAAGAATCGGGCTGACGAGCTTAGTCGGATCAATTGGGATAAGTCTGGCGATGGAGCTAATGAGGATATACCTCCGGTAGATGCATTCCTCGATGAAGAGGAAGATGTGAAGCTCCACATCAATGCGCATGCCGTTGGGGTCAGTGGAGTCATTGTGCAAGGGCAGTCTGCTTTTCTTACTCCTGCCGGATACGTAAAGCGAGCAGATATAGTCCTCAAGGACTTCATGGAGGAGGATCCTTGGGGAGGGAAGGAGGTTGAGTGGATGGCAAAACTTGCATTGACTGAGACCTTCCAGTTACGAGAAGATCCATTGGCCATTGAGAGTGGAGCCTACTCACTCAACACGCACGCGAAGTTTGTGGTGGATGTCAGTTTTCTTGTCAACTCAATTGTCCAAGTCCACGAGGATGGAGAAGGGAGTCGAGACCCTGTGAGAGATATGGAAGAGGACGAGTTCGAGGAAGGAGAGGTAACGGAGGTTTTTCGCGCAGATGAGTACGAAGGTGTATACAGTGAATTAGGTTTGCTTCTCTCATGTGAGATCAGGGAGAGAGAGACAACTAAGAAGGTACTCGAGATGCGGCCTTGCTTTTTAGTCCGGGATGGACACCTTTTCATCAAAAACGAGGTTGGCAACCTGAGGAGGGTGATCTGCGGCCGAAATCGTCAGATAGACGTTATAGTCGCACTTCATGACGGACCCGCAGACGGTCATAGAGCATTCGCCTTGACATATGCAAAGGCACGAGAGCTTTACTACTGGGAAGGAATGAGTGAGATGATTCACAAGTATTGCGAGTCATGTATTCCATGTCAAATCAGGGCATCGACTATGTACAAGGAGCCATTGCACCCACGGATTGTGCGAGATGCACAAGTAGTGGTCCATTTGGACCTACTGGCAATGCCTCAGAGAGTGGGTGGCTACAATTACATCTTCGACGCGCGGGACAATCTTACGGGGTTTGTTGATGGGCGAGCCATTCGCAGCAAGACGGGTAAGACATTGGTTTTGTGCATCTCCGAATATTTCCTCAGGTATCCTTTTGTAGTGGAATTCGTGATGGACAGGGGGTCAGAGTTCACTTGTGGAGAAGTGCGAACCTTGTTGCAAGAATATGGCGTACAAGCCAGCTACACGACTAGGGCACATCCGCAGGCGAATGCTCCAGTTGAGAGAGGGCATACCACCATCACGAATCTACTGGCGAAATGGACGAACGGCAGGGAGAATCAGTGACCTAAGCATCCGCGCGCAACATTCTTCGTCGAAAATATTACGATTAAGAGATCCACGAAGTACGCGCCAGCAACGCTATGGTATGGAAGGCATGCCATTCTCCCGATAGAGAGCTTTCTGAAAACATGGAGGAGGCAGGATATGGAAAGCACCCTGTCCTTCGAGGAATTGCTGGATTTGCGGGTCAGGCAAGTTGGCATTGCAGAAGAGAGGATCCAGGAAACCGCAGATCGAGTATCGGACAATCGACTGGAGGACAAGGAGAGGTGGGATCTCCTTCCACGAGTCAGGAAGGAGCCATTGGAAGTCGGAGACGTGGTGCTGCTGTATGACTCATCGCTAGAGAAGCAGTGGTCACGCAAGTTGGACAAGCGGTGGTTAGGCCCATATCGCATTAGGCGGTGTGGGCAACACGGAGGTTATGAGATTGAAGAACTTAACGGCACGCCGTGGAGAGATTGGGTCTCGGGGTCGAAACTGAAAAAGTTCAAGGCTCGAGACTAAGGTGAGAGTGACAGAAGAACACAGCGAGTAGGAATAGTATCTGATTCCTCGTCTTGTTAAGTGATACTCTGCATTAGTGATAAGATAGGATTGTATGTTAGTATGTAGATAAGTCTTAGTATAAGTTTAGTTCATGAGTCAGGTCAGTCGTCTGAGGGTATGAGAGATCTGCTTGGGTCAGTCAGTATAGGCATTCCTCATTCCTCTCCTATGCTTACTTTTGTTTCCTCTATCGTTCGTTCTTCTTATTTGTGCAGGGTTGGCTTTTCGAAGTTGGCCATTATTTGGAGGGGCGGGAGGATGGTGGGACAGGAGGATGAGCGACTAGCCACGTCTTTGATACTAGACCCATTTCGTTACGGGGGTGGACATGTATTTCCATTTTTGGACGGGTTAGTTAGGCAGGTTTGGATCCTTCAGTTAGATTTTGCTCAGATGACTGAGAGGGTCAGGGGTACTGGCAGCTATGAGGAGCGTGTGGCTCAGATCGTGAGAGAGTCATTGGATTGGAGGCAGTTCGCCAGGCGGATGCTGAGATTGCAGCCTCAACCCATTGATCGACAGGGTAGGCCCATACGGTTTGACGGGGCTAACCTGGATGAGTTCCTTGAGGTTTTCGTCATTTTTGGGGATGGACAGAGATGGGCTGAGGCACAGAGGGTTAGGCAGGTACGGCATTGGGTTGTCCCAGATCTTAGACATGAGGTGAGTACCATGTCACATATGGTGCAGGCTTGGGCGGAGCTTATAGCAACGCTTAGAGGGGCGTTCACCACTGACAGACGACGCAGGCTACGCAGAGAGGTTGGGGATTACATCCCGGAGCTCAGGGTACGCCAGCGAGCGCAGCTAGAGAGAGATGAGGTTGATGAGGGGCGATCGCGAGAGAGGCGGAGAGAGAGTGGGCAGCCAGAGATTCCACGCAGGCCTAGGACAGGCAGGCGCAGAGGACGTCAGGATCGAGGGGATGATTTGGAGGAGAGGGATCAGGTGCTGACTAGTGATGTTGGGAAGGTGCTCCCCACATATGATTTGGGGGTGGAGACCTTACCGATAGGATCTCAGAGGCAGGACGATTCATCTATCCCTGAGATTGGGACATCACCATTACCAGAGACATGCCCGACTAAAGTAGGGATCAGCGGCTGTGATCCTAGAGATGCGCCTGATGTGGATGAGGGTGCTCAACCTATGATCGGACAGGATGGGGAGGAGGCTACCCCACGGCTTGTGTTGACGATTGCTTCAGCCCGGCCTACAGAGACAGATACCATGGAGGGAGTGGTTCCCAATACTGCATCGGAGAGGCCTTATCGATGGAGAGACACACGGGACATGGCATTAGATCTCCCACAAAGGGAGCTACCGCTTATGATAGGGTCTGCCACTATAGTACCGATGCAGGAGCACGAGGGGCCTCAGCCTGAGTGGCCGCGAGAGACGACACCGATGCATGGTGAGCTAGGGCATGATGGGCAGAGGGTCCAGTCTCGGTCAGAGCCGGCAGTGGAGGATGGTGAGAGAGGTGCGATGAAACCCTCATCATTGGGTGGATCGTCGTTACTGAGCGAGAGTCGATTGGCTGAGCAACCAACTGAGCTTCATTGACTGCCCAGCTATATGACATGGAGTCTCCTAGGATGCAGATGCGACAGGAGGTATCCCAACCCTCGCCCATGGAAATGGAGACAGAGCAAGTTGAGGCCGAGGTTTTGGGGCTAGATAGAGAGGGTCTCACGGAGGACATGCAGACCCAACGAGTGGAGACGTCACCACTAGACTTTGGGGATACTCCACGATGAGATGGTGATCAGACTGCGGCTAGTATGAGGGGCCACATTGAGGTCGGCGCGGAGCATACCCAGGACGCATCTCCGACTCATGAGGAGGAGAGCTTGCCGGAGTCTCGGGGGCCGATAGGTCACGAGCCTGTCAAGAGGGATGCATGGCTAGCCGAGAGGATGGGACAAATGCCATCATTACATTTTCCAGGTTGGCTGGCTTTTGAGCGATTGGGCTTGGCTGCGAGACCGCACTTGCCGGTTGATCAGACCACTGGTGGGCTCAGGGTACTGTATGACGACTTAACCTTGCAGAGGACCTATATTGGTAGTGGCCTCGTAGCAGCTCGACAGGCGACAGAGCAGGTCCGGGATTACACGGGGAGAGTTGCCATTCGATCCTTTGAGTTGAGTTGCGGCAGACAGATGAAGCACGATGTACTGAGAGAGGAGGTGAGTGATCTCTGCACGTTTGTTGAGGGAAGAGAGGTCCAGACTCTAGAGGAGGCCGAGGCGGTCCTCGGGATTCAGGAGAGAGAGGCGAGTGATTGGCGAGCCCAGGTTCAGAGGGTGCTCAGGGAGTATGAGCCACCTGCTGACGCGACAAATAGAGATAGGCTCGAGCGCAGGGTTGTCCTTGAGACCGTGCGATCGTCTGCTGACGCGACAAATAGAGATAGGCTCGAGCGCAGGGTTGTCCTTGAGACCGTGCGATCGTCTCAGTTGGAGAGCCAGGTATCGACTCTTGTCAGGTTACGGCGAGAGACTGAGGAGCAGACGCAGAGACTCTTCTTTGAGGATGCGGCCACAGCCGGATGGCAGGAGGAGGTTAGGATGAGGAGACGGACAGGAGAGGAGCCTATGCCTGAGGGCGAGCGTACGCAGGTGGAGGAGGGGCTTCAGGCGAGGTTGTTGTCTAATGCCTCAGTGCGAGAGTTGGTGGGAGTGATGGAGCATGTCAGGAGACTCACGTAGACTGAGGATGCACGAGGAGAGGTGCTTCAGAATGTCGTACAGAGGATCAGTGCTCTGGAGCAGGAGAACAGAGGGCTGAGGGACACGGTATGTGATCTTGTCACCAGCGCCGAGTGGGCAAGACAGTCCACCTCGAGGCTCGAGCAAAGGATTACTGACCTAGAGGAGAGTTAGAGGCGTCAGGCCATGGCAAGTCTGGTCGACGAGAGAAGGACTGAGAGGCAGCAGACTTCTATCGGACAGGCACACGTCTCTTATGAGGTAGAGCCAAGGGGAGTGGCGTGAAGGCCAGCAGAGGGTTGAAGGTTTACCTGTTGAACGAGGCATTGCCCGTTCTGTCGGTAGAAAAAGCCACCCTCTATCTCCCTCTGCGTGCAAGGTTGTACTGATGATGCGGGATGGACCAAATGTTGAGCTACAGTACCAAACTATTCATGCCTCAAATTATTGCTGCTGATGTTAACAGGTGGCATCGGCAGTCAAACTGTAAAAAGAATAATTGACTGGGCACAGCCCAGACGCTGATCAGTTCATACCCATGACGGGTGGCAGTTGCATGCCTTGATGGACGTTAAGTTCACTGCTTCTGCTCATCCATTGGTGCCATACCTGTACTTTTGAGCTCTGAGCGACAACAACTATGTGCTTTTGACTTCTAGAGAGTGCCCAGCTATCTGCCTTTCGTCGTGGGCGCAATCTGAGGGCATGGACTGGACAACTATCATTCGGGGTGCTTGCAGTCGTGCGTCATGGTGCATCTGTCGGGCTTGCTGTTGACCATACGAAATGCGCAGACAACCGTGCAGTGTCATACACACGCCGTGTTCTCAGTGAGGTTGCTACTGAGCTCCGCTAAGCTTTGCTCTTGAAGTTGTCAAGCAGAACTATGCGTTACTCACACAGTCGGAGGGAGTTGCAGCAGGCCAACGGGCAGGGGACTTACCTGTGGGACTGTGCGTTACTCTCACAGTCGAAGGAAGCCACATCACGCCAACAGCAGACTGGGGAGTAACCTGTTGCACGGTGCATTGCTCGTTTGATCAGCAAAAGTAGTGTGAGGGGCAAGCTTGGAGACTTTCCCGTGGAGCGGTGTGTAAAACTCACTCAGTCGGGGAGCTGCCGCGACTTCATTTCCTACAAGGCAGTTTTTTATGCTTCATCCTGGCCACGGATCTGATTGCGGACGTCACGTTTTGGCCACCATTGCGGGGTCCTCAGGCGCATCAAGGAAACGAGGTCCTCTCGTGTGAGTTGAGTTGGCCCTCTCGTATCTCGAGTGTCTGACCACTCTCCTCATATCCTTCTTCCTCTTAGTCTAGTCTATGTTTGGAGAGGAAGGCGGCAGGCGGGATTGCAACCCGTAGGACCGCATCAAGGCCTTTGTTGGAGGTCGACCCACCGATTGCAGGAGCTCTGTCGAAGCCCAGGCGGGACTCTGGGGGCAGGGAACTCAGAGGTAGGCTGACGCGATACCTTTAGCTATCCCAATAAACCTCTATTTATACAAACCTGGTGTTTTTATCTCTCCGACTTTGACTTGCGTATATGTTTGTTTTATTTTTCATGACTTTAACTAAACCAGAAATGGTAATCTACTATGCATGTTAATTCATCTGTCTGTGGTAAAAATCACGATGTTTGCATGTGATGATTTGAATGGGGCTGGATATGAGGTCTTCTGACAGATCCAGCCGCTTTGCTGATTGTCTAGACATTGAGACGGGGCGGGGTCAGGACCTGCCGCTTTGCTGATTGTCTGGACATTGAGACGGGGCGGGGTCAGGACCTGCCGCTTTGCTGATTGTCTGGACATTGAGACGGGGCGGGGTCAGGACCTGCCGCTTTGCTGATT